TTACGACTGGTTAATCGTCAACTCTTACTCTTACGAAGCCAATGAACGGGGTTTAATTTGTTAGAAATGGTTTTGGCATCGAAATTGCAAATTCCGTGATTGCTAAAGGTGTAACTTCAAATATCCGAATCAAATTCCCGAAGTGAATTCGAACGTAGTTAATTTCGGGAATTTGATCAAATTACAGGTTTGCTAAATGTCTCTAATGTCGCAAAGAGACCGCGTTGGCCTATCTCGTGGAAAAGAGGTTGCTCGTGGAGTCCAAATCGACCGATTTGCATGTCAAGCCAAATACTCCGGGAGTACTTGTTTGAAGGTCTAGGTGCTGTGACACGTCAAGATTTATATTTAACATGACGATGTGAACGACAATCGAATGTTCGTTTGTCGTCTTTAAACCCACGAGTGTCTCTGGTCCTTCATTGGCTTCATCTACGAAGTTAAAGTACTCACTGTTAATCCAACCATCCTTGAGCATACTACGTAGTACTAACGTAACGTACTAGTATTAACATAGAGCGATAGTTAACGTTTACACAGAGTGAACCACAGCTACATACTAGTATTAGTTAGAACTACGTATATAGCTACTAACAGTATGTGTCGCGAGTTCTTTGCAGTTAATTGAATTACTGGTACAAGGGAAATACTACGTACTAGTAGTACAGAAGTATATACTTTCTAGTGGCCTTCGCCATTGGTTTGCGTCATTCGCATTCACATTAGTCTACCAGCCATGAAAACTCCGGAAAAATTGGTTATCCGGATAGGTTAACCTACACTGTTGATTTACAACTGTATCCGGAATATCTATTTATAGCATTACCCGAATTGCGGTTGCACGGGAGATATCCATCGTTGGAAGTCAGGATGGGTGTCATCTGTGCTGGTCAGTGTTGAATTCTCCCTCGACAAAGCAAGCACAAGCTATGGATGCCTTTGCGAACCTTGATCCCCTTGGCGGCAAGTCGTCGACGTCCAAGACACCAGCGTACCCATATCCCGTTCAGCCACAGCCGCAAACCTACAGTCAGCAGCCACAACAACAGCAGCAGCAGGCTTATGGTATGCCTCCACCACAACAACAGCAGCAGCAGGTTTATGGTATGCCTCCACCACAACAACAGCAGCAGCAGGTTTATGGTATGCCTCCACCACCACAACAACAACAGCTCCAAATGAACATGGGAGGTCTCGGTCTTGGTATGGGTGGCTCCATCAATAACTATGGAGCCCCTGTGGCGCCTCCTTCCATCCCAGGCATGTATGTGAACCAGCCACAACAACAACAACAGCAGCAAGTTCCACCTCCAATCATGTACGACAGCATCAAGAACCTGTTGCAAAAGAAGCCAGATATCGTGGCTGGTGCCAGTGGAAATGGAGCAGACCCGTTCAGTTGCTTTACTAACAAGCCGTCGTCGCGTACCAACAGCGGTAACTTGAACTTGGACACCAAGCCACCACCATCCAACGCTTCGTACGACCCATTCAGTGGCGGGGCCACCCCGGCGTCAACGCCCACGTCCTTTGGCAGCCAATCAAATGCTACGCCAACGGCCAACCTGTCGATCTTTGGTGACGTAGCGCCGTCTACTGGCCACATCTCGTCGTCGTCGACGACCCCCAAAAACTCCGCGCTGGCCGACCGCCTCCGAGGCGGCAAGCGCCAGACCCAGGAGTCTCAACGCGCCTCTTTAGCCATCAATTCCACCGCCGTCTCCACGTCCGGAGGCACGTCCGTATCGATTAAAAAGCAACTCGGAGGAAATAGTGCAGCCCCAGCCACGAGTTCATCGCTTGCTGCTGTGCCAACCACGTCGCCTGACAATCTCTTGGGCTTTTAATCATACTATATTCTTAACCACCACACGATTCCCGCATTGGACATTGATGCATATCAACTACTGTATGTACTACATAACCGGTAGTAACGTTACCGGTATTCTGACTTCCACAATACTGGTACATACTACGACCTACTACTACGTAGTACTCAAAGTAGTAACTTACTGCAGTGGAGTATTCTTTGACCCAAAATTCGGGCATGTGTGCTGACTCGACAAATCTATCGATCAATTCATTGTACTGAGTTTTGTATGTCAAAAATTGCCCAGTGGTGATTGGAATCACACTAATTTGAAGTCACACACGAATTAGGTGTTGATGATGGTGGTTTTCTGCAATCTGATTGGCTAAATCCATCTGCCGATTCGTGTGTACATTATTTGGATATGTTGGTTCATTCTCCAGTTTAGAATATAAACACAATGATGGCCCAAAATGCTTGCATATATCGTTCATGCTTATTTTCCCCTTGTATATTTTTATCGTTAAGGAGACAATGTGGTGTCTGACGACGGAGGCGCGAACAACTCCATCCGTCGTATGGCGTGCAACATTGCTTTGGCCTCTTCTTTTTCCTACATATATATATATATAATCATAAAAATTAATATATACTTTTTAGAAATAAAACAAGAAGAATATTCACAAACCGGTCCGTCGCGCTCGAGCAGTCTGTAGCACCACTCCATGGCTTCGGGCAGGTTGCCTTGCAGCATGCAGTAATTTCCCAAGAAAAGCATGCCCGCGACCGCCTCTGCCGACGAATTATGTCCCTGCATCAATCATTGAATTATCAGTCAATTCAATTTATTATTTCATCCAATCTATTAATGTTATAAAGTTGTGTAAATGGTGATAATCGCATTGTACATTCCAACATTTCAGACTATATACTTTGAAGAATATGATATGTGTTTGTCGCCTCATATACTTTATCTATGTTCTCCATGTATATATATATACACCAAACACCCATATATATAAATATATATACCGTCGCTCGGTCCCGTTGCCAGTGCAATCGATAATACTCGGCGGCCTTGTCCATATCTTTTTCCACTAGCTCGTACAGTTTGGCCAGTCGAAACACAGCAATTCCTTCAGCATCGTTGTTGGTCACTGCTCGTAAATAGCTCGATTTAGCTTGACTATGCTGACCCAGCTTTTCCAACGACCCGCCCAGCGCCACCCACATCCGAGCATCATATGGCCGGATGCCCGTGGCTTTCTGGTAATAATGCACACTGTAGTGGAACAACTCGAGCAGTTCGTATGCTTGACCCAATCCATACCTACATAAACAAATAAATACACACGACCATCGTAGCAACAACATACAAACAACACAAGGCAGTAAGTATATCGGTCGTTTTGAGTTCTCCAAATATATATATATGGATATTGTTATCAATATATATAGATATAGATGTATTTATTGTGGATTCACGACTGTTTCCGCCGAATCGTTGACTCTCGAAGCTTCGACGCTATCTATTGGCTACTTTATTTTGGATGATCGGATCGAATTGGCTCTTTCAGAAAGGACAAGTAGAAGATTCACCCAATGAGAATTTTCCATCGTGATTCAATAGTGAATAGAACACCACGCGATATACATTTGGTCGTGTACAGCGAATTCACAATATATATATATATATATATGAAACAAACATATAAAGATATATATATATGAAACAAATATATAAATATATATATATATATTTGTTATGTTTAGGAGTATAACGTACCAAGCACGGTAGTCGGTGGGGGCTAATTCGAGGGCCCGCCGGTATACTTCGATTGCAGCGTTGGTATTTTTCAATTGAATGTACTCGTGTCTATGGTCATAATGATCCACACATTCAAAACGATATTATGTCGAGATTATTCCAAAGCTGGAGCTATCGACATCCAACCACATGTGCACAAGAAATGAGCCAATCAAATTGCAGGAAGTCATCCGTTCACCCAATCAAAAACATGGAATTCGTGGCGGACTTCAATTAGTGTGATGGGCATCGTCACTGTGTTTTTACATATACAAGACATTTCGAGCCAAACCACTGTAGGATATACGCAGAAATACACGTGGCGTTTTCATTCAGTACAAACACAGACTATTGGCACACAGAAATACCTCTTAAATATTGTCGATTTGATAGTACAAATTTGGGGAGGGGGTGCAATCGAATCGCACCTACCAAACCGATCCACAATCGATCTGATTGGTTGAATGTTTTGATTGGCTAATAATGTTGAGCTCTTCTGAAGTAGCCAATCAAATCGATTTAAATTCCAACGAGAAACCATGCCACAACACGAAATTTCACTCGAAAGCACAATATAGTTTTGTATTCACTTTCGCAGGTCAGTGCTCGGCGAGCGATGGTTCGGGTCATTCAAAAACTACCCGCATGAGGAAATGTAGAGTATACAACATACACATACAATATATGTATATATATACATGAACGGATCTCCCAAGATCAAGGTCGGCTGATCCATAAAAAGAGAAGTATTTATATTGTGGATTCGGTACAATTTTCCAGACCCCGTCAAATCACGAATCGACACTATTGGCTAATCCAATTTTGAGTGGATTGCTCTTACTGAAAACACAAGTATATTCAACCAATCACAACACTCCAGCGTGATTCAATCTCTGGATTAGACAAACAACCACGCGAATTTTGCACGTTTCAAGCGAATATTCACTATATATATATATATATACCCAATCAGCGTCCATGCAGCAACACATGTCCCGTCCAGCGTGATCGCGCGGTTGAAATACGCGATCGCGCGTTCGTGCTGGCCCTTGAGGGCGTAGTAATTGCCAATCACGCAATTGGATTCGGGTCTGTACTTGTCCACAGTATGCACGTGATGCGCGAGCTCACTGAGCGCCGTCTTTTCCTCTTTCACGTACAGCACATCCGAGTATAAATCCATTAAGTCCATGCGATACGGGTCCGACGTCGACAGTTGCTCAAACAACCGGTGGGCGCCATCGAAATCTATCCACGCCATATGAAACCAAATATATATATTGTTGTGATTATTCAACCGGTGGGCGCCGTCGAAATCTATCCACGCCATATGAAACCAAAATATATATTTATATATATATATATATATATTGTTGTGATTATTCTAAACTGGAGTGAGATGGAGAATAATGAATCGACACAATGAATAGTGAATGTACACAAGAATCATCGGCGCAAAAGGATATATTTAGCCAATCAGATTGCAGGAAACCATCATCTATATCTAATTAGTGTGATACCAATCACCACAGGACCCCTTTTTACATACAAAATTCAGTATCGATAGATTTGGCGATTCAGAACAGAAGTCAACCAAATGTTGGGTAAACATCCATGTGTGTACTGAATATACCAAGTTCGTACAAATATAAGTATTTCGAAGTACTGTACATATAAACCGAGTGGGTTTAATATATAAAAAATACATACCAAGTTCGTACAAATATATATATATTTACCGAGTTCGTACAAATATAAATATATATAGAATTATGAATACCTCGCAGCTCGTAATGCGCCCGCGCGAGTTGTGACACGATGTAGGAGCTTGTGGGAAACGTGGGTTGGATTTGCTCCAAGATCTATACATCAAACAATTAATATATCTCCTGGCCTTGAACGACATCGCATATGCGATACGGTGCAGCCAATCATACGTCGATGGCCTGGGGAATGTGACAGTGTAACAACAACACGTGGGCTTGAAATAGATGCGACATCCACGGGCACGCCTTCTCGTTGTGATTCATTTCCTACCAAGTCCATGATATAAATATTTATATATATATATATATATATAC